TCAAATCTACTTTCATGTGACAAAAACATGCATGCGCTTAGACATAAAATGGAAAATAAATTGTTTGTGAATGTACTTATTTGGAGCTTGAATGAAATAAACTATTAAGACATATGTATGTGTGCTTCCGAATATCTGGGAGAGTGAAAACTTAAATTTTTTTTGCAATGGAAAATATTGTAACACTGTATTTAACAACTGAAAAAGGGAATAATTTCGATTGGGCTTAACTTTTTGTAACCTATCCTTTACCAAAGTGTGAGGTAAATGATATTATGTCTTTGTGCATTTCCTTGTAACATGCAGAAGAAAAAGGTTCAGGTTTACAAGGGAATAAAGAAAATGAATTATATCTTCCTTATTAATTTTTATTAACGAAAAACTTTATTACCCATAACCAACATATTTTTACTGCAAATTGCTATTTGTACTCGATTTTTGGCATATGTGAAATATGAAAAATTGTCACCATTCGATTGACGATAATCGCAGACAATTAATGTTGCCAATAAATGCTCAAAGTAATTGCCACTTTTTATTGTTTACAATTCCAAGTTAATATTTGGCACAAAAATTGCGAAATGGACGATTATGAGCTACTTGAAGCAACATGTATAAAAAAATTAATTTCCTGAAAAAGAATTGAATGGAAATCGATGAAATTGATTTTTATGCATATGAATGATGTTGGCGTTATAATGACTGATGAAAAAATGGAAAGGAGTTTCACGACAAAAATAGAAAATACGCAAAATTTGCTTATGTCTGCTTTTATTAAATTGCAGATAAAGGAAACATTTTTCAAAGATTAAAACAGGGAAAATTTATTTCACCGATATGCTAAAAATGAAGATTTTTTAAATTAGCTGAAATATTAAGAAAATTAAATTCTTAATAAATTTTGAAGAAAAAAACAAGTAAAAAAGCAGGCCGAACTTTGAATACCCTCCACCATTTGGAACGAATTAAAAAAAATAAAATTCATTAAAAATGCTGTTAAAATCTTTAATATATCGAATATCGGAAAGTGCCGATATATGGGAACCTATATAGACAATTACCTTTCAGGGGTTAAAGTGCTCACAAAGAACTCCTTATGTGGATTTTCAGACAATACCATAGGAAAATATGGCTAAAATCATCACAATACCGAATATCGGGCGTACCGTTATATGGGGGATATGCGATATCGTTAATCCAATAAAGAATTCTCTGTCAGGGGGTAAAATGATCACAAAGAACCTCTTGTGTACAATTTCAGACAATTCCGTTGAAAAATGTAACTAAAATCATGAAAATACCGAATATCGGAGGGTACCGTTATTTGGAGGTCATACGATATCTTGGACCTATATAGATAATTCTCTTCCGAGGTATAAGTACCCACAAGGGATTCCTTGTGTGGATTTTCAGACAATTCCGTTAAAAAATGTGGGTAAAATCATCAAAATACCGAATATCGGGGGGTACCGTTATATAGGTGCTATACGATATCGTGGGCCTATATAGATAATTCTCTTTCAAGGGATAAAGTACCTACAAGGAACTCTCTGTGCGGATTATCAGACAATTCCGTTGAAAAATGTGGGTAAAATCATCAAAATACCGAATATCGGGGGTGCCGTTATAGCCCCCATATAACGGTACCCTCCGTTACACGATATCATGGACTTATATAGCCCATCTTCGAACTTGACCTGCCTGCAGACAAAAGAGATCTGTGCACAATTTTAGCTTCCTATCTTAATTTGTTTAGACTGTAGCGTGATTACAACAGACGGACGGACAGGGCTAAATCGTCTTAGAATTTTACGCTGATCAAGAATATATATACTTTGTTGGGTCTTAAATGATTATTTCGATGAGTTACAAACGGAATGACGAACTTAATATACCCTCCATACTATGTATGGTGGAGTGTATAAAAACAAGTTAAAAAGTATCAGTGGAGTCTGCCGGCAGAAGTATACCCTCAGCCAATGTTCGGTTATTTAAATATATTTTGAGTTCTGTTATGAATATTCAAACTCTTGACCCTCTGTGGAGTGGGTTCTGAAGAAATAAGCCAATATTACCCATTTCGTATTGGACCTAAATAAATACGATATAAATATTGCGACGTCCCAGGTTTGGTCTATATTGGTAACTGCATCATAAAATCCCTATTCATCTCAAGTTTCTGGTTGAAACAAATATTTAGATATAGCAAATTGAAAAGGATCGCTGACTTGTTTCGCAATGTTTGACAGATAAAAGTATTGAAAATTGTGACCCTTATGTATCATCTTCACAGCAGATCTTGTGAAAGCAAATATGCTTGTGTGTGAAATTTTAAGAGAATTGAAGAATTTTTTGCTTTTTTGAGTGTTTTGTTTTTCAAAAGCTTGAACCCTATTTGGGGGAGGTACCAGAGGAAATGGTCCGATCGCTACCATCTTTATAATAGATCTTGTGTTAATGGAAAATTTGAGATGTACCATGTCTAGAATGGAATCGGATGTTGATTTTCGAACATGAACTTCATGGATATACCAGACCAGATCTTGGATTCATAAAAATAATAGGATGTGTGAAATTTGAAGACAATCGGAGTCTTACATCACATTTTATAAAAGTTGCAATTATTCAACATTTTAACCTTTTGTGGTTGAGGTACCAGGAGGAGTAGACCGATATATCCCATCTTCACAACATATCTTGTGTTAGTAGAAATAATTGGATGTGTGTGATATAAAGAGAACCTGATGCTTATTTCAGATTTTATAAACGTTTTGGTTATTCCAAACTTTGACCCTTTGTGGGGCAGGTACCAGAAGGAATGGTCCGATCTGTACCGCCTTTATAACATATCCTGTGTTGATAGAAATATTCAGATGAGCCAAGTCCAAATGGAATCGGATGTTTATTTCGGGTTTTATGAGCTTCAAGGATAATCAAAATTTCGAACTTTTGTGGGGGATGTACCAGAAGGAGTGAACCGATATATTCCATACTAACTCTAGACCTTGGGTTAATGAAATTATTGGGATGTGTGAAATTTGAAAACAATCAGACTCTTACATCACATTTTATAAAAGTTGTAATTATTCAAAATGTTAACCCTTTGTGGGGGGAGGTATTTGATAGAGTGGATCGATATTGTCCATTTTCGCACCTAACCTAGCACTATCACAAGTATTCGGATTTGCAAAGTTGGAGCGAAATCGGATTATCCCTTTATCTTTCTGTGCAGAAAATATATTTTTTGAAAATTTTGACATTTTGTGGGGGAGGTACCAGAAGGAGTAGACCGATATTTCCCATCTCCGAACTCGATCTAAGTTTGACAAAAATATTACGATGTACCAAGTTTGGACGCACAAGCCAGCCAAATGTCCTGAAACGGATTTGGTCCAAACATACCTAGGGTCAAAACCGTTTTTTCGCTTTGACCATATCAAAAAATATATATACCCTCTCTAGCCATATGGCTGAGGGTATAAAAAGTGTATGTTAGCGCACCCATTGCATGCATTTTAACAGTGTTCAGATGTCATCTATTGGCATCGTACTAATCAATATTTGAATAAACTAATAAAAAAGCTGTTAAGTTGGTCCTTGTTTGTACGCTCCAAAACTCCAACTTTTAACACCCTACACCCCATAGTGGTAAGGGTATTATGTCTTTGTACATTTGTTTGTAACATAAAGAAAGAAGCGAGGTTGACCCATAATAACTTTTGAGGATCTTCACAGAATCATTTTTTGAGTCGATTTATGCATGTCAGTCTGTATTCTTGTGTGTCCATGTATTCTTGTGAAAAAAATGCACGTCGCATTTATTGCCGATTGAGGTGAAATTTTCCAAACAATATTTGTTTGACCAAAGGACGGACCCAATAGAAATTGGTGATATTAATCTTCAACCGATTTGGCGTAATTGTGCACCAAATGGTCAATATGACCTGCATTTTGGCACATTTGATTCGTTCAAATCAGTCAGAAGCAAGTACATCAAAATCGGTTCAGATATAGCTATAGCTCCGATATATATTTCATCCGATTTGGTGTTTAAAGTCACTCACATTCATACCCTGCACCCCACAAGAATGGTATTTGGTACGAGATATCAGATACAGATACCTCTGCCAAATTGTATCACGATCGATTCAGATTTCGTTAAAAGTTTTTTTTTGATATCCGTTAAAAGTTTTGTTAAATTCTTAAAAATACAAAAGGTAGCCGTCATATTAGGGATTAAACGACGAAGCGGACCTGCATAGGCAACTTTTGTAATAAACTATTACAATATTCAAATGCGAAACTAGAAAAAATGTCGCTAAAATCATCAATATATGGAGGTACTATTATATGGGGGCTATACCAAAATGTGGACCTGTATAGGCAATTTTCTGCCTTAAGCTGTATCCATTACGAACTTCAAATATCAAATTTGAAACAATTCCGGTGAATAATGTCTCTAAAATCATCAAAATACCGAATATAGGGAGGTACCGTTATATGGGGACTATATCAAAACGTGGATCTGCATAGTCAATTTTCTGTCCATTTCGAACTTCGAATACCAAATTTGAAACATTTCCGGTGAATAATGTCGCTTAAATAACCAAAATACCGAAAATAGGGAGGTACCATTATGTGGGGGCTTTACCAAAACGTGAACTTACATGACCGCTTTTCAATACCAATAGTCCTGCAGACATAATATACATTTCAGAAAAAATTTAATCGACCTACTTTATTTCATTCGCAAGCTAGACTGATTTCCACAGACGGATAGACGTACAGGCGGACGGACATAAAATCGACATTGAAGGGTCTAAAATGTATGTTTCAAGGTGCTACAAACATGTTACTATGGTGGAGGGTATAAAAATCATGTCCATATATGTCGGACTATGACAGTAAGAAGCCTTAAAAGATCCACCTCCTATGATATTTTGGACCAGCGAATATCCTGACAAACGAGATATAAACATGATCTCATTTTAATTTAAATATTATAATCAACAAAAGAAAAATTTATTGAAAGAAAATATAAATAAGAAAGCATATTATTTAACCAAACTTAATATTCTATTTTTTTCTTATATATTAGACACATACTTATGTACATTTACAGTAATTTAAATAGCAAAAAATAAATAAATTAGTTATAAATAATTAAATTAAAATAAGTTATATATGGAAAATAAATATTAGCAAATAATTTTATTATAGTCGAACACGATTATAATGAACTCTTTTAACACGGATAATTTTTGACAGTTTCGGAAAAATAAATATTTTCTATCGGACTACTGCTTTGAAAAGATCTGTGGTTATTTTTTAAGTTTATTAGAACCGTGTTGAACTTTATATAGTAAACAAATCAACAAATAAATTAAATTAAGGCTAAATGACTTTACAAAATAGTGAAGGAGACTCAAGCCACTTGGTTTTTTTGCTTCAAAAACATACAGCTCTCCGTTTACTCGGTATTTATGTTACAGTCTGGATAGAGAGTCAAACAGTTCTTATGATCTTGACCATCACGAGCCGCCTGTATTAAACGGAAAAATCGTATGACAGCTGGATTTGTGCTGGTTATCGGCTGCAATTCATTTGTATCTCTGAAAAAATGAAAATTGCACTTTATTTCAATTCTTTGAAAATTGTATTTTTTATTTAATTTAAATTCCTTTTATTTATATTGAAATTCTTCAAAGGCTCAATAACGCAAAAAAAAAAAAAAAACAGTAAACTCACCGACTCAACTCGGCGGACACAAAATTACTATGCGGGCTATAACGTTCCGGATCCTTGTACATGCTGCAGACCACACGTTCTTTACAACCCTCTTCCTTGATGCCAAGTTGTTCAATTATTTTATCAATTTTCAATAATATCGGGCTATAGAAGGGGTCGTAGTTTAACGGCATCAATGGCTAGAAAAACGAAAAAAATAGGAAAACAAATATAAAATAATTTCCGAGGACAATGCCAGATATCGGTGAGCTCATACCTGACCATCCTGCACAAACGGTTGTTTGTCCAATATCTGTTGCTGTTGTTGCACCAATCTTTGCTCAGCCTGTATTCGTAAAGCCTCCTTTATTTGTGCGGACAATTCCGGCTGAAAGAAAGGAAATATGAAATACCAAAAATGAAAAAAATATCCATATCTGAATAATAACCATAGAAACATGCCGGTTGCAGGATTTTTTGAATTATTAAATACGAACTACTACTACTATTACAGAGTGCATTCGCCTGAATATGGAATACTCAAATAAAACGGAAAGCGAATGATGGAAGTTATTTAACAAAAACAAAAAAAGAAAGATTTAAGTTCGGCCGAATAACAAATAGAAAATTCAGAATTCGGATGAGATACATTTCTAAACGCAAGTTCTAGCAAAATTGGTGGGGAAATATGAATTGATATTAAAATGATAAATGTACAATTACGGTTGAATCGGAGGAGAATTGTGGATCAAATCCAAGATTGCTCTTTTCAATCGTTCTAAATATTATAAAATTTTTTTCATATCCATGTATCATAGTTTGATGGGTTTTTAATTAAAACAATTAAAAAAGCTGTAAGTTCGGCCGTGTCGAACTTGGAATACCTTATACCATTTGGAAAGAATTTGGACCTGCATAGGCAACTTTTGTCATTAGCCATTACAATATTCAAAGGCAAAACTTGAAAATAAAAATTCAATGAATAATGTAGCTAAAATCATCAAAATATAGGAATATAAGAAGGTACCGTTATATGAGGGCTATATGAAGACATGGACCTGCTCAGACAATTTCATGTCTTAGGCTGTAGTATCCATTACCAACTTCAAATACCAAATTTGAAACGTTGAATAATGTCGAAAAAATCATCAAAATACCGAATATCGGCCATTATATGGGGCCTATACCAAAACGTGGACCTACATAGCCCATTTTCAATACCAAAAGTCCTGCAGACATCTACTTCAATTCTGTCGGAAGCTAGAGTGATTTCCACAGACGGACTGACGGATAGACGGACGGACATCGCTAAATCGACATAGAGTTTTATGCTGATCAAGAATAGTATATATGTTTGTCTAAAATGTGTATTTCGAGGTGTTACAACGGAATGACAAACTTAATTATCCCCTTCATACTATGGTGGAAGTAAAAATCGTATACAGGGTCAGATAAAAAAAACTGCAACAACGTCAAATGCCATAATTTTTTCAAATTTTAGAATAAATTTAACTTTGTCCTTCAAACGGCCAATGAAACCGTAACACGCTGCCCGAATGTTGCTCTGCGGTAATTTGGCCCATTCCCGGCGAAGCGCTTGCTTGAGGTGATCGACACTTGCTTTCCAAACCTTGCTTTCCAAAATACTCCAGACACAATAGTCCAACGGATTGGTATCCGCAGAATTTGGAGGCCATTGTGCGCTGGAAATGAAGCGAGGACCCTCTTTTTGTAGCCATTCTTGTGTGGCGCGTGCTGAGTTCTGTAGGAATGTTCAAGGTCTGCACCAAAAATGTTTGCGTGCCCAAGGCTTTAATACACCCTCTAGAATATTTTCGCGATAACATTCGACATTTATTCTGATGCCACGGTCGATTAATACGAGCGGAGAGTGACCATTGGCTGTTATGGCGGCCCACACCATCATCATGGCCGGCGCTTAAGGTCTGGTGGCCAACCGAAGGTGCACATTTTCAGCTGACCTCTTTGGCAAGTAAACATGATCATTTTGTTTTTTGCAAATTGCTGGACGATGAATATTTTCTCATCGGAGAAAACCAACTCTTTAGCTGTTTTGAGTCTTTTGTCTTTCTGTTGCTGTGTAAGTTCTTCCACTTTTTGGAATTTCAATGACTTTACCCCGAGCTCATTTTTCAATATTTGCGAATGGAAAATTCCGATATGATATGAAGCTCACGAGCCATTTTTCTGCCACTGCTGATGTTTCTGATGTTGACTTTCGAACCATTTCTGCTGATGTTGCTGTTTTCTTGCGTCCACTTCCTTGACGTCGGGCTACGCTACCAGTATCACGGTAACGAGCCATGTTACGGACACAAAAGATTTATTCAGATTTTATTTATGGAGTGCTCTAACTATAGCTACTTGTGGCTTTCCAGCCAAATATAAAGAAATCACACTATCACGCTTGAATTCCATCACGAATAACTTTTTTCCTGAAAATGCTCACCAAAATGCTTTTGCTGTTTTTTGCGCTTGTAAACAATATAATGGGCTGTCACTGGAATAATTTTAATAGCTGTCGGACGAGTGGTTAAGAAATGAAGGCAGTCTGAAGTTGGTTGCAGTTTTTTCATCTCACGCTGTATATGAGTCCAAGATAAAACAAAACATGTTATTATCCCGAAAAACTACATTTTTAAATTGTATACCCTTCACCTTGAAAATAAGGGTACACTAACTTTATCATGCCGTTTGTAACATCCTTTTGTATTCGTTCATGATCAGCATAAAATTCTAAGTCGATTTAACGATATTCGTCTGTCTGTTGACATCACGATATAGCCCACATTATCTGACGTAAGGCTTCAAGATTTGGCAAAAACAACTTGTTTGTGTTTACGAGGGTTGGTATTGAAAATGAGATATATAGGTCCACGATTATAGCCCCCATATAACGGTACCTCCCAATATTGGGTATTTTGATGATTTTTGCAACATTTTTCCTCGGATTTGTCAAAATGTTGTATTTGTAGTTCGCAATGGGTTCCAGCTCCTGTGGCGGAACATAGTATAGCGCACTATATTTGTTATTTACTAAATGTTATTTACTTGTTATATACTAAATATCTCTTTCTCCTCTCTTTTTTAGTTCCTGTAAGCTGCTTGGAAACGCGTCAGAGATGTGAGGTAAGCAACATTAGAATTGTAAGAAAATATTTTTTTTCATACCCTCTGTCCATATGTAGCTAGATCGACTAGAAATATGATACCATATGGTCTATATCGGTCGACGTTTTTGTATAGCCCGGATTTTTATACTATATTATAAGTTTGATTGGGCCAAAAATTATGTAACACCACGAAATATTGGTTTCCCACATAGGAAAGTATATATAGATCTTCCTATCTCGCCGAGCTGAGTCGATCTAGCTATGTATGTCCGTCCGTCCGTCCGTCCGGCTGTCCGTCTGTCCATGTTAATTTGTAATCACTCTACAGGTGGCAGTTATGGCACGATATTCACGAAATTTAAAATGGAGGTGGGGCTAGGGTCAGAATAGAACCCTATTTCTTTTGGAGATGATCGCATAATATCTTGGGGTTGAAATGGACCAAAAACTGAAAAAATTCCGGATTTTGCAGTTGCTCTGCAGGTCGCAATTATAGACCAATCGACGCGGAAGTTAGCATGGGGCTAGAGCTTAGGGCTGGGCAGAAGCCTTCCAATTTTTAATAAAAGTCAAATTTTTCATTAAACCGCGAATATTTTAATCCCGTCGAAATCACAAATAGACAAAAAGGTCAATTCTGACCGTTACGTCGATGCCGATAGTAAATATATCGGATATATAGCGAAATATATACAATGTGTATATACAAAGGAAGGGGATGTTAGTTAGAATGCTTATATCTCAAGAATGGCTGGACCGATTTTGACAAATTTTGTCAATTCAGAATGCCCTCTTGACATAAAGGAATAAAATCTAAAAAAATCGAAAAAAAAGGTATCAATAATTATGGTCATATAGATTTTGTTGTATTTTGTGACATTTTTTTATTTTTTCATATTTTTTATTGCATGGGATTTTTTCAATTTGACTTATAATATATAATATTTAGGAATTTGTAAATATTATAAATGTTAAGATTTATCTTTTTTAATTGAATTCTATTTGACAAAATTTGCATACGAATTCACTTATTAGGAATAGAAATTTATTTCATATTGTTAGTCAAATTTATTGTCCTTCCAAATTACTGGACATTTTCATATCCCTTGATTTCTCTGAAATTATATGTACGTTCTTATTCAATATTAGGGAAAATAACAGGATGTGATGTTTGTCATTCTGTTTGTAATTCACAGACATAATATTTTAGGACCCAAGGATATGCGTTTCTGATCAGCATAAAATTTTACAACTATTTGCGTATGTCAGCCTGTGGTAATCGGTATTAATTTTTAAAGGGTCAACTTAGATGGTTAGGATGTTAAGTCCGAAATTATTATTTGTGTTTAATAATTTTTTTTTTTAATTTTTTTAATAAAAATTATATAATTTTTTTTATTTCAAAATGAAACATAATTGAAATAACTGTGCAAATATATCTCCGAATTGTCTGATCAAAATATTAATTTTTAACAACGAAGTTGTTTTTAAAACAGAAAATTTTTTATCTGGGTAGTGCTCTATGACATAATTTCAAAAGCGAAATCTTCCAAAATAGATTTGAACGTAAGGGTGCTTCTAACATATTGTAGTGTTGTAGGGTATCACATGGTCGTCCCCGCACGACTATAGCCTTTGCTTAATTGTGTTTAGAATTTTTTTATTTATTTTTTTTTTTAGAATTTCACTGAAAATTAGAATCAGTCCTTTCTCCATTTTTTTACTTAGAACCATAGCCCTCAAAAATCGATACCCCCGATATTCGTTATTTGACCATGGGCCCCATGTATATCTTCTCCCGATTTCAAGTTCATTGTGCATCAAGTATTCACTATCAACATAACAGGATGGGTTTTGGCTCTTTAAACCGATTTTTTGCCTAGATCGGTTTTTTGAAATAATTTCACCATTGTTGAATAATGTTATTCCAAGAAGAAATCCTGCATCATCGCAAAGGAATTGTTGAGCAGAAAATGAAATAAAATTCCTTACCGTTAATTGAGATTCTTGAAGTGTGGTCGGCAATGACTGTTGTTGCTGCGGTTGCTTTCGCGTCGGATCATATTGGGCAGCAATTTGCGCTGCTGTTGAGAGGGCTTCTTGTATTTGTGGTTGTAGTTGTTTCTGCAACTGCGGCAATCCTGGCTGCCGCGCTGGTGTGTAAACAGGACTTGGTGCAGATTGGGCTGCAACAGGATTATTTCTATACTTGTGATTGAAAATGCTGTAAAAATAAATTACAGTTTAAATTAGTACAAAATATTTAAATTTTGAAATCAAATTTTGTAATAAATTTTGTTTGTATAATAGCACATTTATAAATTGGGGACTCTGGATTGGAAAAAGAGTGTACAGGGTGTTTTGTTTTCATGTTTTCTTTTTTTTGTTTATTTGTGGGGAGCGAGAAAGATACCTTTGTTTGTCACCCTGTTGCTTGAATGGATTAAATGTCTGACTAGTGGCTTGAGGTTTTTGATAATTTTGTGGTGTTTGTTGGAGAATGCTTGGTTTCTGTAGTGGAGTCGAAACTCGTTTATATTGCTGTGGATGTTGTTGTTGTAGTTGTGGTCCCGTAGGTGGACGTTTATTTTGTATTGTGGATAGAGGCGTAGTGCCCAGACCCCAGGCGTGTAATTCATTAACATCGTTTTTGGGGTGCGGTTTAAAATAATTTGTCTTATCATCGATATGTGCAACACGATTTATATCACTTATATATCTGTGTTAATGTACGAATAGAGAAAAGTTAAAACGAAATGAAATATTTCATCAAATATTGTTAGTCACAAATGAAGGAAGTTTGTTAGTTCTTCATGGTTACTTACTCTGAACCTAAACCAGGGCCAGAATTTTCCCAAGCTTCAATATGTTCATGCGGTGGCCCATAGGTTTCATGTATGGGTGCTCCATGCAGATACGTTGAAACATGACCCTTGGGTGGATGGGAATAGATAATTTCTGGTATATGCGCCGTCTCTGCACTATGCCAAGGTGCACTTTCACCACTATGCCATGGAGGAACAATCTAAAAGTTATGCATAAAATATTGTTAAATTATTTGAAAAATGATTAAATATTAAAACTACTTTAAAAGTATCAGTCAATATGACGAAAGATATATACCCTTAGCCTTTGGTGATCCAAAAGCAACCAAAAGGTTTTTTATACCCTCCACTATACATAGTATGGAGGGTATATTAAGTTCGTCATTCCATTTGTAAAGTATTTATAATTTATTATATTAGTATTATAATGTAATCACGCTAGAGTCAAAACGAATTACGATAAAAAGCTAAAAATTTTGCGCATATCAGCTTTTGTTTGCAGGCAGGTCAAGTTTGAGGATAGGCTATATCGATCCACGATATTGTATAGCCCCATATAATGGTAGCCCCCGATATTCTGTATTTTGATGATTTTAGCCACACTTCTCAATGGAGTTGTGTGAAATTTTACATAAGGAGTTCGTAGTGAGTACTTTACCCCCTGAAAAATAATTTTCTATATAGGTCCACGATATAGTATACCCCCCATATAGCTGTGCCCTGATATTCTGTATTTTGATGATTGTAGCCAATTTTTTCAATGGAATGGTCTGAAAATCCACATAAGGGATTTCTTTTGAGTACTTTACTCCCTTGAAGAGAATTGTCTATACAGGTCCACGATATGGTATATCAGCTAACGGTACTCCCGATATTCGGAATTTTGAGGATTTTAGGCACATTTTTCAATGTTATTATCGGAAATTCTACATAAGGAGTTCTTTGTATATAACGGTACCTCACTATATTTGGTATTTTGATGATTGTAGCGAATTTTCCTTTTGAGTACTTTACGATATCGTATATCAGCTATGCAACGGTACGCCCGATAGTCAGTATTTTGATGATTTTACCGGAATTATTTTAAATTTCGTATTTAAAGTTCGTAATAGGTACTGCAGCCTATGACAAAAAAATTAGGTATACAGGTCCACGTCTTCGTATAGCCCCCATACAAGGATACCTCCCGATATTCGATACATTATTCACCGGAATTGTTTCAAATTTCGTATTTAAAGTTCGTAATGGGTACTACAGCCTATGACCAGCCTATTTGTTGTACAGGACCACGTCCGCGAAAAACCCATACTAGAAATTAGACCTGGTCAAACTTAGCTGTTTATACCTTGTATAGTGGTAAGGGTATTATGTCTTTGTGCATGTGTTTGTAACATGGAGAAGGAAGCGTGACAGATCCGCAGTTACTTTCAAAGGACTTCATAAAATCACTTTCTGAGTCGATTTTTGCATATCACTCCGTCTGTCCGCTCGTCCGTCCATCTATGCATTGTTGTCAACAAAATGCACGTCGCATTTATTAGCCGATGGAGATAAAATTTTGCAAATAATATTTGTTTGGCCCAAGGACGAACCCTATTGATGATAATCGGATCAGACTTAGATATAGCTCCCACATATTTTCAACCGATATATGTCCATATATGTTTTTAGCTGTTTTCGCGTTAATTGTGCACCAAATGTCAATATCAGTTTAAATAACCTGTATTTTGGTACATCCCACCGAATTTAGTCTAGGAGCAATTAAATTAAAATTGGAGAAAATCGGTTCAGATATAGCTATAGCTCTCATATATATATTTCATCCGATTTAGGGGTTTAAGACCCTAACATGCGTAATGTGCACTCCCGAAGAATGATATTTGGTACCGGAATTTTGGCAATTAATATTGAATTCATTCTATAAATTAGTACTCCAAACTTGTTGTAAATCGGTTTAAATGTAGCTATAGCTCCCATATATATGTTTTATTCGATTTGGGGTTTAAAGTCCCTCACAAGTGTAATATGTATTCCAAATTTGGTACCAGATATCAGATACAGCTCTGAAATAAGTGTAATATTTTTTATCAAGATCGGTTCAGGTTCGGATATAGGACCCATATATATTTTCAACCGATTTCGGGTTAATTGTGCACCAAATAGCCAATATCAATCCAAATGACCTGAATTTTGTCTCATCCGACCGAATTCAGTAAATCGGATTCGGAGAAAATCGGTTCAGATATAGCTATAGCTCCCATACATATGTTTCATCCGATTTGGTGTTTAAGTCCCTCAAATTCGTAATATGCATTCTACAACAATGATATTTCGTACCAGATATCTTATAGAGCTCGGAAATACCTCTGCCAAATTTTATAAATATCGTGTTAGATTTGGATAGGGGTCTCATATATATCTTCAACCGATTTCGGGTTAATTGTGCCCCAAATGACCAATATCTGTAAAAAAGTCCTGAATTTTAGAACATCCGACCGAATTTAGTCTAGCTATAGCTCCAATATGGTGTTTAAGTCTCTTAAGTTCGTAATAGGCATTTTACAACAATGATATTTGGTACCTGATATCTCATAAAGCTCGAAATACCTGTTACAAATTTTATTGAGAATAGCTAATATTTAAATATAGCTCCTAAATATCCTTAATCCGATTTTCGTTTTTTTGTGCAAATAATTTCTAATATCAGACCAAATGGAGTGTATTTCGGGACCTACATTTTCATTTTGTGAAACTCGGTTCCGATATATATTTCTCCAGGTTATATTAAGCTCTCTATAGAAAATTATAACTGCTCTAAAGTCGAATGTTCATAGGTGGTATGATCTACTTGAAATAAATTCATTAGTTACGGGAGCTCTACTAAATATGCATAATGGTGTAGGGTATAATATAGTCGGCTCTGCCCGACTTTTGACTTTTTCTTACTGGTTTTTCCTTGTTTTTTTTTTTTTTGTAAAATTTTCAAACATTAAAAAATCCGTGTAGAAAAATATATTCCTGAAATATTTTCCATATAGTCAATTGTTGGAAAATTATCAATGTTTGGTTAATATATTAGTTCAGCTAAGTTTGGGCCACTTCGTTATGTATGAGTTGAGTATATTTTTAGTTTAATTTGCCAAAAAGTTTTTAACACTCGAAATAATGGTCTAAGACCCCACATGTAGTAAATCGATTTTCCTAGCTCGGCGAGCTGAATCAAGCTATTCATTCCGTCCGTCTGTCAAGTTAATTTGTCTCCAAAATTGGTTCATTTTGTGCATTTCCTCCAGATTTAAATTATAACACGTCATTTGTATTACCTATTAAATTAAATAAGGAACACATTCATTTTCGCCTATAAACAATTTTGTTTTTAAATCTTATTATATACTCAAAATGTATACCACCAATATAAAGTCGTAGAAAATACACTGACAGAGAAAGAAAGCCAAATAGAAATATTACACAATCAACTGCACTCTATTGGGTGGTATGTATTTGTTTGCGCATATTAGCCCAAGGCAATAAAATTTACATTCACATGGACACAAAACATCAACATTATCGGCATCATCGAAACGATTCACCATCAACATTATTCCGTTTATACGGCGCACAGACTCATTCATTCATCGTTCGAACGTATTCATGTGATACACATACGTACATATATATATATATATATATATATATATATATATATATATATATATATATATATATATACAAATTTATATTTGTATGTTAATAGGTATGTACAGCATCTTCATCATTATCATATGAATGACTAGTACGCGAATACGATGAGCTAATGAAAGAATAATCGGATGTAAATGCCATAAAATACAACATCGTATCACAGACACTCGCTCACTTACTCCCAGCTGCCTTTGGGTTTTGAGTTTCATCATCGACATGGCACAATACCGTTCGAGTATAAAATGCTAATAGAATACGTATTTAAGCCACACGTTTCATCGGCGAGCTAACAATAAAAACAAAAACAGTGATTGCTTTGTTGCTGTTGTTTTTGTTGCTGAAATCATTTCACTTTCATTTGGATCAGAGTGTTGAAGGCAGCGTCAACAGCGTTATGTTTGAAATCCAACTTTCTTTAGATGAGTACAGTGGGGTAAAATATAATGGCATCGATATTGTGCAATATTAAGAAATTCAATGTCTGTGGAAGGAAAATTCCATTAATCTGAGTTATGGCATATACTTTTTTTATACCCCCCACCATATATATTATGTTTGTCATTCCGTTTGTAACACCTCGAAATATACATTTTAGACCCCACAAAGTATATATATTCTTTATCAGCTTAAAATTCTATGTCGATTTAACAATGTCCATCCGTCTGTGGAAATCACTCTAGCTTCCGAACGATATGAAGCAAGTTGTTAAAAATTTAAAAATTCTGCAGGACTTTTGGTATTGAAAATGGGCATGTCCACATCTTCGTATAGCCCCCATATAACGGTACCTCCCGATATGCGGTATTTTGATAATTTTAGCGACATTATTTACCGGAATTGTGTCAAAATTGGTATTCGCAGTTCGTATTGGATACTACAACATAAGGCAGAAAATGGGCCATTCAGGTCCACGTCTTCGTATAACCCCATATAACGGTAGATCCCGATATTCGGTATTTTGATGATATTAGCGACATTATTTACCGGAATTGTTTCAAATTTGGTATTCGAAGTTCATAATGGATACTACAACATAAGACAGAAAATGGGCCATGCAGGTCTACGTCTTCGTATAGCTCCTATATAACGGTTCCCCCGATATTCGGTATTTTGACGATTTTAGCGACATTATTTACCGGAACTATTTTAAATTTAGTATTTGAAGGGCGTAATGAATACTACAGCCTATGAAAGAAAATTGTCTGTGCAGGTCCACGTCTTCGTATAGCCCCCATATAACAGTACCCCCTGATATTTGGTATTTTGATGATTTTTGTGGAATTATTTCTCGGAATTATTTCAAATTTCGTGTTTGAAGTTCGTAAGTTCCACGTCTTATTGTACGGCCGTTTTTAGGTGGTGGTGGTGGATTGGAAATTTTCGAGTTGAGTTGGGATGAATCCGTTGTTAATTAGGCCACGCCATAACTCCTGTGACCAATGCTTAATCTTCTCTTGGTGCTACGAGAGGTATGAATTAAAAGCTTGCATTCACCAAAGAAACATTCCTAACCTAATGATGTGGTCGAAATTTTTTTGCCCAGTTTTAATCTATCACCTTTTTTTTAAAAAAAGGCAATTTAAAATATAGATTTGTATACGCTACACAACACTGTGGTACGGTTTATGTATTTGTTTTGTGACATCCAAAGGGATACGAAATAGACTCCTGGTCTGTCTATGCATATTTGTAAGCAAATTACAGAACTCAATTCATATACCCCCACCATAGTATATTAAGTTCCGTTCCGTTTGTGACAACTCGAAATATACATTTTAGACCACACAAGGGATATGTTTTAGATCAGCATAAAATGTCGATTTAACGATATTGTCCGTCTGTAGGTAGGTTGATAAAATGTTACTCAATTGAAAATGGGCCATGTACCTACATGGTATAGCCCCCATATTATGGTAACTCCCTATTTTCGGTATTTTGATGATGGATACTACAGCCTATTCGGTATTTTGAAGATTTTAGAGACATTATTCGCCGCAATTGTTCCAAATCTCGTATTTAAAGTTCCTAGTGGGTACTACAGTCTGTGACAGACATTTGTCTTGTCAGGTTCTTGCATAGACCATATATATTGGTACCTCCCTATTTTTCGCGGTAGTATTTCTTTTCTTTCTTTTTATTATTATTATTATTATTTTTATACCCTCCACCTTGGAAAGGAGGGTATATTAACTTTGTCATTCCGTTTGTAACATCCTTAACTATTCGTCTTAGATCCCATAAAGTATTTATATTCATAATCAGCATAAAATTCTAAGTCGATTTAACGATGTCCGTCTGTCTGTCCGTCTGTCTGTTGAAATCACGATACAGCCCACATTATTTGACGTAGAGTGCCAAAATTTAGCAGAGCTATTTGCATTGTGTCTAGGATGGTTGGTATTGAAAATGAGATATATCGGTCCACGTTCTGGTATAGTCCCCATATAACGGTACCTCCCGATATTCGATATTTTGATGATTTATGCCACATTTTTTCACGGATTTGTCTGGAAATTGGTATTTGTAGGTCATAACGGGTCCCCGACCGTGTGGCAAAACATTGCATGTATAGGTCCACGTTGTGGTATAGTCCCCATATAACGGTACCTCCCGATATTCGGTATTTTGATGATTTATGCCACATTTTTTCACGGATTTGTCTAAAAATTGGTATTTGGGTGTCATAATGGGTCCTAGTTCGTCTGGAGAAACATTGTAATTATAGGTCCACGTTTTGGTGTAGCCCCCATATAACGGTACCTCCCGATATTCGGCATTTTAATGGTTTTTGCCACATTTCTTCTGATTCTTTTATCCTAAGGTGTAGGGTATTAAAAGTTTGGCCCGGCCGAACTTTTTTTTTTTTTTGAAGAATTCCTTTCAAATGGTGGAGGGTATTAAATTGTAAGACGATTTTGCTGTCCGTCCGTCCGTACGTCTGTTGTAATCACGCTAGAGTCAAAATGAATAAAGATGGAATATGAAGCTAAAATTTGGCACCGATCTGTATTTTGTCTGCAGGCAGGTCAAGTTAAAAGGTGGGTATCGTACCGGTCCACGGTATCGTATAGTCCCCATATAACGTACCTCAATGGAGTTATCTGAAATTCTACACAAGGAGTTCCTCGTGACTACTTTATATCCGAAAAAAGAATTGTCTATACAGGTCCACGATATTGTATATCCCATATATAACTGTTCTTCCCGATATTCAGTATTTTGATGATTTTAACTGCATTTTTCAATGAAATTGTCTGAAAATCCACACAAGGAGTTCTCTGTGAGTACTTTACCCCCTGAAAGAGAATTGTCTATATAGGTCCATGATATCGTATAGCCGCATACATGGATTCTTCTGGTAAAATAGACCATAACTTTTTATTAGTAAATAAAAAACGAAAATTTCCATTAAACAGCGAATATTTTTAATCCCAGCGGAATCAGAATATATGCGAAAAGGACCCTTACTTTGATACTGATATCCATTATATCGCATATAAAGCAACATATTTCCAATCTATATGCATTAATGAAGGGGATGTTAGTTTGACCGCTTATATCTCAAGAACTGATTTGGACAAGGCCTTTTGGCATAAATGAATAAAATCTAGAAAAATTGCATAAAAATATGCTAATAAAAATGTGAATATTTTTCTGTAATATTTGTATACCCTCCACCTTGAATAGGAGGGTAAGGAGAATTAAATTTGTCATTCTGTATATAAAACCTCTAAATATTAATGATCGACCCCATAAATTGTATACAGGGTGAGATGAAAAAACTGAAACCAACTTCAGACTGCTGTCATTTTTAAGCCATTCGTCCGAAAACTGTTAAAATTATTCCAGGGACTCATTATAGCCCATTATATTGTTTACAAACGTACCGAAGCATTTTATTTTTGCATAAGATTTTTGCAATTTGATTTAAAAAAAATATTTGATTGTACATTCTGTAAAATATTTTCAGCTTTCAACACTATGTGTATTTATTATATTCGGGTCGATATTCATTAATTTTGCAATGGGGTAGAGTTAGGTTCAGAGTAGACGCCGATTTTTTTGAAAGATGTTCGCATAATAATCACGTTTTAAAATCTAAAACCTAAAAATTGTCTAGATTTTTCAATTATCAACTAAGAGCCAGTAGTCTTGGAATTCATTATTAGGTTAGAGTTTAGGACAGCGTCGAAGCCTAGGAGTTTGAATGGTCATTGGATAATATTCAGCTGGTAAAAAGGGCCAGAATTTTTTGTGAAATAATACCAAAATGGCCGAAATCACAAATACGTTTCCGAAGAGCGAATTATGTATTTGACAGGGAGATCTGCTTCGTCAAATACCGATGTTTTTTCAGAGATCTTATGTTTTGGAGAGTATTGGTTCCAGATGTATGCTGATTATTCGAAAAGAGTTGCAATTAGGCTCTACATTTTCATATCTGCAGAAACTAGACTGCAAATTGGAGTGTTGTAGAGTATCTAATGGTCGACACCGTCCGACTCTAGTCTTTGCTTACTTGTTTTATGATATTTTGAATATCTTGAGCGTTTGCCCAGAAGGTCTTTGTAAATTTTATATCATTATATGTGCCATTCAGTTTGTAACTCCTCGCAAAATGTATATTTTTTGGTCAGTGCAAAATTCTAAATAGTTTTTTGTAATTTCGCAATTATTCGATTAATATGTTTTATGTGCCCTAAAATTTTTCCAGAACACCTGGAAAACACCCTAATATAGCTGTTCAAGTTAATTGGACATCCATTTTTTTGTGACTTGAATCTGAGTGGATTAACAATTCTCCCCAGTACAAATGTCATATATCATTCGTTGATTAAATCTTTGTTTTGAAAATAATTGACACTACACATTTTTAAAAAACAATGGTGAACGTGTCACGCAATTCCCTCTTTCAGATTCACACTACAAAACTTCCATTCCGAATAGTGAGTGTCATTTGCACAATAGAGTCATTCCATGTACCCCACTCCATGCTGCTGGCACGTTTTTGTCACATTATTCTTTTGTCTAATAAAGAGTACCCATTGTGTAATGCCTGACTGACTAACAGACTGACTGACACATAATTCCAATTAACATCTTCTCTGGCTAACACAATCACAATAAACAGAGATATGTTCCCACTTTCATTTTCTTTTGCTACTCCCTTTCTTAATTCAATTCAAGTCGTTCGTTCGTTTCTTCGTTCATTCATTCGTTCGTTCGTTACTGGTTTTATTACTCACCGTATGATGATGATTAATGTGATGATGGTGATGATGATATTTCGTCGAATGATAGGTCTGCTGATAATACGAACATAGCTTGAAGAGATGTGACAACGCCGGGAACAGGAAGAGTAGAAATTTCAGCAACAACTTCTTGGCAGCACCCACACCAATGACCAAAGGCAACAGCCAGAAAAGTTTGATTTTGATAATTTTTATGATCAAGACCAGGGCCAAAAACGACAGCAGCAGTTTACTTTTCATGAGTTTCTCTAAACAATGGAAGACAATCGGAAACAAAAGTGAAAATGCCAGAACAGAAATGCAATGCAATGCTCTTTGTGTGCGTGTTCATTACTCACGTAGTTTCTTCATCAGGATTTTACCGGCCAAACGAGCTTCACTCTTTTGCTTGGGTATTAGCTCCAACTTGGCTATAACACCATTGCCCTCTATTGATTTGGGCGATATACGAAATGTGGCTCCGTCGAACATCATTTCAGGCAATTTCAATTCGATATTATGTGTCATGGCGAATTTGATGCTCTTGCCATACAATGCATTTGTGACTTCCTCAATTGGTGTTTCCGGCATGGCAGCTAAAGAAGCAGAGAAAAAAGGAAAACAAACAAAGGAGACAAATGAGACAAATAAATAGTAGTAGTACAAATGAGATAAAATAAAGTTTTCAAGTGATTTGATTTATTTTAGTTAGAACGATTTTTCTTTTGCATAATTTAAAAAAAGAAACAACTGTTCATGAATAGTCGCCTCAGGCTTCAAAAAAAAAAAAAAAAAAAAAAAAAAACAATTATATTTTTAAATCTGAATAAATCTTAAACATTATTCTGGAAAAAAATAAGTACATTGATGTGATTCAGAATCATTTTTCTTGCTCAAAACTATGATCAGATCATAAATAATAGCTAAAATAAATTATCAGAATTTGTTCGTAATTGGGCAGAAATCATCTTAAGCTTTCTGTCAAAGTCCAACTTTGAACTTTTGTAATTTTGAAATATTATGAGAGATTTTTAATTTCAATCCGTTTTTCACCCCTAAATATTCGTCATAGACCCCATAAATGATATATATTCGGATGTCCGTCTGTTGAAATCAACCACATTGAAATACAGCTTTAAAATTTGACATAATACATTGCATTTTATCTGTGATTATTGGTATTCAAAAAGTTCTATCTCGGTCTAAGATTTCGTATAGCCCCTATATAACGGTACATTCCGATATTTTGTATTTATACCCTACACCACAAGGTGGTCAGGGTATTATGTCTTTGTGCATTTGTTTGTAACAGGCAAAAGGAAACGAGAGAGACCCATAGTTATTTTTGATGATCTGCGTAGAATCACATTCTGAGTCGATTTATGCATGTCCGTCCATCCGTCTGTCCGTCCGTCTGTCCATGTATTTTTGTAAACAAAGTACAGTTCGAATTTATTGCCTTATCCAGATGAAATTTTGCACAAATCATTTGTTTGGCCCAAGGACGAACCCTATTGAAATTGGAGATAATCGGTCAAAATTTAGATATAGCTCCCATATATAACTTCGTCCGATTTGCCTTTTATTGTGCACCAAACGTGTAATATCAGTCCGAATAGTATGGAATTTTGCACGTACGATCAGATTGGACCTGAAAATAAATGTGCCAAATTTGATCGAAATCGGTTCAGATATAGCTATAGCTCCCATATATATTGTTCATCCGATTTGTTATTTTTGTCCTCCGCAGCCGTAATATGCACTCTGTAACAACAATATTTGGGGAAATATATCAAATACAGCTCAGAAATACATTTGATAAATTTTATCGAGATCGGTTCAGATTTGGATATAGCTCCCATATATAACTTCGTCCGATTTACCTTTAAATGTGCACCAAACGTCTAATACTTGCCCAAATGGGATGAAATTTGGCACTTACGAAAGAATTGAGTCTAGAAGCTAGTATGTCAAATTTGGTGAAGATCGGTTCAGAAATAGCTATAGCTCCCATATATACTGTTCATCCGATTTGTTATATTTGTTACTCACAGCCGTAATATGCACTCCGTGACAACGATATTCAGGGAAATATGTCAAATAAAGCTCAGAAATGTCTTTGCCAAATTTTATCGAGATCGGTTCCGATTTGGATATAGCTCCCATATATATTTTTATCCGATTTCAAATTAATGGGCAATACGAGTCCGAATTTAAAAGATACAAATGCTTCGGCATATTTTGTCCTTTGAACTTTAAATGATAATTATAATCATAGCGTGTATGATTGAATTCTCCCATTAAAACGTCTAATTGTTATGCGGAGTTCTACTAAATTAGCAAAGTGGTGTAGGGTATCATAAAGTCGGCCCCGCCCGACTTTAAGACTTTTTTTACTGGTTTTATAATTGTAGCCACATTTTGACACGAAATTGTTTCAAGTTCGGTATTTAGAGTTTTTAAAGAATTTTACCTTTTGTCACCACCATGTAACCGTGCCTCGAGATATTCGGTATCTTGACAATTGGATATCCGATATTTTTATGCCCTACACCACATAGTGGTAAGGGTATTATATCTTTGTGCATTTGTTTGTAACATGAATAAGGAAGCGAGATAGACCCATGGTTACTTTAAGGATATTCATAGAATTGATTTCTGAGTCGATATACGCATGTCAGTCCGTCCTTCCGTCCGTCCATGTATTCTTGTGAACAAAATGCAGCTCGCATTTTTTATCCGATTGGAATGAAATTTTCCAAACAATATTTGTTTGGCACAAGGAAGAACCCTATGAAATTGGTTATAATCGGATCAGATTTAGATATAGCTCCCATATATCTTCATGTGCACCAAATAGCTAATATAAGCCCAAATGAACTGTATATTGGTACATCCCACCGGATTCAGGTTAGAAGAAAGTAAATCAAATTTTGAGAAAATCTGTTCATATATAGCCTTAGCTCCCATAAATGTTTCATACGATTTGCGGTTTTAAGTCCCTCACATGCGTAATATGCACTCCAGATGAAGGATATTTGGTACCGGACACCAGACACTGCTCAAAAATACCTATGTCAAATTTTATAGAGATCGGTTCAGATTAGGATATAGCTCTCATGTATATCTCTATCCGATATCAGGTTTAATGTGCACCAAATGGCTAATATCAGCCCAAATGGACTGAATTTTGGCAATTATGATTGAATTCATTCTATATATAAGTTCTTCAATTTGATGTAAGTCGGTTCAGATATAGCTATAGCGGCGCTGCTCAAGAAAAAAAATCTCTTTCCAGTAAAATTTCTCTTTGCTTATTTAAATCAAGAACAAAACAGTGTTAAGTCATTATTTATACAAATATTTGTTATTCATTTGCTTTGTAAATCATTTTGGCAAATATTAAAAACAATTATATGGTATCGTAAAATATAAAGACAAACTGAATTTTAATTTTCTCTTAAATTATCTCTTTTTTCGGCTCATGTTCTAGAACACGGTTTTGAGCAGGGCTGTTATAGCTTCCATATATATGATTTATCCGATTTCAAATCCCTCGCAAGCGTAATATGCATTCCACAACAATGATCTTTGGTACCACATATCAGATACAGTTCTAAAATAAGTGTATCAAATTTTGTAAAGATCGGTTCAGATTTGGATATAGCTCCCATATACAAGGTGAGATAAAAAAACTGCAACCAACTTCAGACTGCTGTCATTTCTAAGCCACTCGTCCGACATATGTTAAAATGATTCCAGTGACAGCTCATTATATTATTTACAAGCGTACAAAAGAACTTTGGTGAGAATTTTCCAGAAAAAAAGTTATTCGTAATGGAATTCAAGCATGATAGTGCGATTTCTTTATATCGATCGTTACCGTTATACTTGTAGCGTAACCTGACGTTAAGGAAATGGACGGAAGAAAACAGCAACATTAGCAGAAATGGTTCGAAGCGAGCGACTTCATCGAAACCGAAAAATGGCTCGTGAGCTGAACATATCGCAATATTCCATTCGGCAAATATTGAAAAAATAAGCTCGGGGTAAAGCCATTGAAATTCTAAAAAATGCAAGAACTTACACCGCAACAGAAGAAAAATAGACTCAAAAGAGCTAACGAGTTGCTCGGCAGAAAGTGGTGAACTGCCGAATTTGGTTTTTTCCGATGAGAAAACATTCGTTGTCCAGTAGTTTGTAAAAAAACAAAATTATCGTGTTTACTTGCCAAAGAGAGCAGCTAAAAATGTGCACCTTCGTTCGGCCACCAGAACTCAAGCGCCGGCCATGGTGATGGTGTGGATTGCCAAAACAGCAGATGGTCGCTCTCCGCTCGTGTTAATCGACCGTGGCATCACAATAAATGCCGAATAATATTGCAAAAATATTCTGAAGGGTGTATTAAAGCCTTGGGCACGCGAACATTTTGGCCGCAGACCTTGTACATTCCAACAGGACTCAGCACAATCGCACTTAGCACGCGCCACCCATGAATTGTTACAAAATGAGGTTCCTCGCTTTATTTCCAGCGCACACTAAAATCTCCGGTTACCAATCCGTCGGACTATTGTTTCTGATATATTTTGGAAAGCAAGGTTGGCACTAAAAAATACCAAAGTGTCGATCACCTCAAGTAAGCGCATCTCCAGGAATGGACCAAAATACAGCAGAGCAACATTCGGGCAGCGTGTGGTTTCATTGGTCGTTTGAAGCCATAAATCGTGCCAAAGGTGACCAATTTGAACAAATCTAAACTTTTTCAAAAATTCGTTGCTATTTTCGTCGTGATTGCTTTGCAATGTAAAAATTATGGCGTTTTACTTTGTTGCATTTTTTTTTATCTCACCCTATATAGTTATTCAATGTACATCTTGGATAAAGTGCATTATGAATAAATGGTTTGTACGAAACAAAAACAAATGAGATTTTAAGAAAATCAAAAATTTGGGCTCAAAATTCTATTGCCTTGATGTTGTCAATTAATTGCATGTAACATTTGCTGGTAAATTTACTTAATATTAGCAATTATGATATCATAAAAATATATGTATATTCTCTTGGTGTCAATATGCGTCTACTTCATTGATTGTTGTAAAATTAGTTTTATAACAAAAATAAATTTTCAAAATTGAAAAACAAAATCGTTTATTTCATGCTTCAATATACAATGTAATGGGTTTTGTTTATAAAATGACATTTGGGTCAAACCTCCTGGTTAGTTTTTCAATTAAAATTCCTTTCTTTGTGGGAAATCTAAGCAATTTTTGCATTTCTTTTACGTCATGTAATTGTTTTGCAAAGCCTAATCCTTCTTTTCCGCAATTCAAAAATAAGCCCAGAGCCCAAAAATGTTAAGAATTTTTTTTCAAACAGTTTCAAACATTCTCTTATATATTTAAAACTTTGACACAAATATAAATGTGTACAAACCAACAACAAATATATTTCCATAGAAACTGACACAAGTTCATACATACATTCCGACAACTTTATCCGGAATGTCAAATCAAAAGGAGATATAACAAAAAGAATGTGCGATTTGCTTGAATGAACACCCAAAAATCATGAATGTATATGACATATATTATCCTTTGGATATATGTTTTATCCTTTTTTGGGGTCATTGTATTACACAGAGATGCTAATTGTAAGTCAGGCTTGAAATTCAATCAAAATAACTGGCAAATTATTTGGAAATCCAATAGCCAATGTTATATAGTAAATTCTTGTAGAAAATGATTTCGTGTGTGTATTGGAAGGAATGAGGAAATGGGGTTAGTTCGTTGCAAACCCAACGTAATCATTGGAATCAAATAACAAGAAGTAAGAAGTGCCAAAGAAATGTAAAGTTAGAAGTTATCTACTAAACTATCCAACATTTTGGAAATAGGAAAAATATAAATTTCATTAAATGGAATGGTTCCTCATACATTTTTTTACTATGACCATAACTTTAGACACATTCGTCGCAGTATTTCGTCTGCAGGCAGGTCTAGTTCGAAGATGGGCTATATTGGTACACGATATAGTATATCACAGTACCTCCCTATATTCGGTATTTTGACGATGTTAGCTACATTTTTAATGGAATTGTCTAAAAATCCATACTATAAGTTGCACTTCATCCCCTTGAAGAGTAATGTCTTTATAGATCTACGGCATCAGATAGTTACCACATACAACGGTACCCCCGATATTCAATATTTTGACGATTTTAGGGATATTTCAAATTTTGTATTTACGATTCGTAATTCAGCTTCATTATTCGTATTTAAATATTGTAATGGCTTATGACAAAATTACCTATCCAAGTCTATCGTATAATATAACAGCTATATTCGGTATTTGGAAGATTTTAAAAGAATTTTTACGGATTTTATTTTTTTGAAAATTTCTAAATTCGTTCGAAATGGAAGAGGGTATTTAAATTTCGGCCCGGTCATACTCACTGTTTTTTACTTGTTAAACCATTAGGCTTTTTTTCCGGCAAACTTGTATGATATGCTGAACCTTAATGTCGCTCTAATCGAAAGAAATATACGCTTATATTGAGAATTTGAGTGAAGTATAAGTATCTATTTCCCTTTGTAACTTATCGAAATGACCATTTTGGACTTTAAATTATATATTCTTGATCAGCGTAAAATTCTAAAATTTTGTCTGTCTGCGTTCTGAAAACAATTCAAGGTCGTAACTTTGAACTAATCTTTTTATTGTTTATTTGATAAGGAGATCTTGTGGTAATGAATGCTTTTCTGGACAAACGGATTGAATGAGAGTCACTGAGAGAGTGAAAGATAGATGTATCAAAGAATTTTAGAAACTTCGGAATGTAAGGCTACAAAAAGTTCTAAAATGTTACTAAATTCTCTAAAATGGTACCATTTGATATTATATGACCGGATAGAACCAAAAACTTGAAATTTGATAAGAGAATGAATGTTGGAAAGCAAGTTTGAGTATATCTGAAGGTGGTTTTGGAAATATGCACTAAGTGTGCGTACTGTACTAAATGGTACTAAATATGGAACAATTTGGTTTAGGGTTACGGGATGAAGCTGGAATTTTGAATTGGGCCCCTGCTGATGGTAGATAATGGTGATAAAGAAGTGGTTTTGGGAATGTGTACTATAAGTGTTCGAAATGTACTAAATAGTACTACATTTGGTTAAAATTTGGTATTAAGGTGACTGTGTTGCCATATGGAGGTGTTTGCGGAAATAGTGTCTATAATTGTACGAAAAGTACTGAATGATACTATACTTTGCATTCTGAAATTTGATATTTAGATTACAGATGGTATCTGACTTTGAAATTTGCCGATAGTTTGGAAATGCGTCATTTATTTGTTCGAAATTACTCAATGGTACTGAATTTGGTATTAATGAAGGCATAGATATGAAATGTTGAAATTTGATATAGATCTCGTTCTTGGTGTCTGTGGTTTATGCCAGGTGTATAAATGTCCGACGACTCCTTTTGCAACATCTCTTCCTCCTTTTTAAAAGCCATACGTGTCTCAGTGGTCCTTTTTTAAAATATAGCTTAAAAATCCCTATAAAAGGGACCGTAGCAAGGCAAAACATCCTACAAGATTAAAGTATGGACAAGACTGTCGCAATTACTAAAATCAGGGGGTAATCTTATATAAGGACAGTACCAAAACATGGACCTTTATTTATACTTTTGTGCTGGTGGCAAGTCTACATAATAAAAACTTAAAATACCAAAGCTTGGTATCAAACGTTAAAACCGGGATTAAACCTCATATATGAACTACACCAATAAGTTGGCCGATATAACTCGGTTTTTCAACCAATGATTCTCTAAGTAATATATATGTAAAAATATTCCGGTACCTTTGTCTATGGTTAAAGCTATATAAAGGTCTTGAAAGGTTTCTTTGCAATGCAAACTTTCTATTTTTAGCTCTACTTTCATAATTTACTGAGTTTGTAAAATAATTATGTTTGGTGTTGCTAGATTTTATTTTAATTTCGTATGTCCCACTATTTGTATTCACATTTTGTCTAGTGTGAAGATAGTAAATATTAATCCATCCAATTCTCTTGTAGCACCCAACACACGTTCACAAATCAAAACAAACATCATTCTCGTTTTTTATTGTCAATAGAGGATTAATAAATATAAGCCGGTCCATTTCTATACCCTCCATCTTGAGAATATATATATATATATATATATATATATATATATATATATATATATATGTCTGTCTGTAGAAATCACGATAGAACCCACATTATTTGACGTAGAGCTTCAAAGTATGGGACAAGAATTTGTATTGTGTCTGGAATGGTTGGTATTGAAAATGAGATATATCGGTCCACGTTCTGATATAGTCGCCAATATAACGGTTCCTCTCGATATTCGGTATTTCGATGATTTTAGCCACATTTGTCCAAAAATTGGTATTTGTAGGTCAAAATGGGTTCTTGCTCCGGTGACAGAACATTGCATGTATAGGTCCACGTTTTCGTATAGCCCCCATACAACGGTACCTCCCGATATTCGGCATTTTAATGGTTTTAGCCACATTTTTCCACGGATTTGTTATAATGGATTTTAGCTCCAGTGGCTTAACACAGTTCGTATAGATTTTTATGATTATAACTCCGGTGGTGGAACATAGTACATATAGGTCCACGTTATTGTATAGCCCCCATATAATGCTACCCCCGGATATTCAGTATTATGATGATTATTTCAAACATTTTCCCACGGATTTGTAAAAAAATGGTATTTGTAGATCATTATGTGTTCTAGCTCCGGCGTCAGAACATTAAATGTTTAGGTTCAAGTTTTTCCATAGCGCACATATAACGATACCAACCGCTTTTTGGTATTTTAATAATCTATCTTTAGAAATCGTAAATTGGGAATCTTAATTTTAAGATGTACTAACCCTAATGTCTCAGTCCTACTGGTACTTTATCGAAAAACTAATAACCCAATTCAAACGAAAGCGTATACTTCTAATATATTAAATATCCATGTGGTAAATTTCGATTCCTTCAATTTTCCATGTCAGACATATTTCATCTCAACTTATTATCGCTTGCTCCCTCATGACCTTTTCAATATCGTTTTCCTTCAGCAATTCACCTAGATTTTCAATTTCATTTTTTGCGGTTAATTTTTTTTTACATCTGCCTATAAAAATTCCCAAAGCAAACATTTAATAAAACAACGATTGGAAATCTAATAATAAACATACAAGCCCGACTGACGGACGCAGCGACCAAAGATGAGTAAGCACTTATTGTAAACATTTTAACACGTCGTCTGGAGATTGAAGCGGTGTGAGAGCGAGCAAAGAGAGATTAGTGAAAGTTTCTGTTTATCTTAAGCGATGGATGGGCTGAACAACATAAATAAATAAATAATAAAAATGTTATCTCGAAACATTACAAATAACCAGCCTATCGTAATTAACAAGGGTTAAGGATGGGGAACTTACCATCTTCATTATCATAGGAACGGCCTTCACGTGGTATTTCATTATTTTGGTCCTCGTCCTCCTCCATTGAATCTTTGGCTGCTGATGCTTGGGTGGTATGCGATGGTGCCTCTGCAGCCATATCCTCATCCAATTCGGCCTGCTCGTCATAGACATTATCGTTACGATAGAACTTTAAACGTTGGGTCACGTTCACATCCTGAGCATCCAATACCTCGTTAAGATAAACGTAGACATTCTTTTGGAAACAGGCAAAGGTTGGCCGTTGATAGCACTCCTGAATGATTCCGGACACCAGATTATTGTCGTGGGCAAAGCGCTTGGCAAAACGTAAAAATATCGAATCGTCGGCATTGAATTTACTCTTGAATTTCCTTTTGACATATCGGGAGCTGTCATTTCTTAACCAGTCAGACGTGGTTTCATTTATGGCCATAATCGAAGGTGAAAAAGTCGTTGTTGTTGTCGTATAAAAGGAATCATTGCTTGTGGGTAATGTGGTGACCGGTGTCAGGGGTGTTGTCGCCATATTTGAATCAACATTGCCATAAAGGGCAGATGGGTTTGCATCTTTAGTATTTTGATCCGCTTTGACTAGTGGCACGGTGTATTCTGAAAATAAGGCAACAACATAAAGTAAGCCAAACAATAGCCAGCGTTTTTGTTGTTGTTGGTCTTGGTAATGTTGCCGGTATTGACATTGTTGTAATGGCCTAAGCCGTCGCTGTTTACAATGGGAATAATGTAAAGATGAAGCGGGGGGAGAAGGAGGAGGATGTGAAGAAGTTGGCTGGTGTTGTCTGACGTGCTGGTGTTGGCGGCTATCGTTTTCATTGTTGTCGCTGATATCTCCAAGTTTTGATTCAAACACTTGTAAACCGCTTAGGCATGTTCTTATCGTTGCGTTGTTGTCGTTGTTGCTGTTATTGCTACTACTATTTTCGATTATTGTCCCACTGAGCTGATTTTCGTTACAACAACTTTGGCCATCGGCAGCCATCAGTAATAGATGATTTAACATTTCTTTGGATTTTGACAAACGTCCGCAGTCTCTGCGCTGTGCACCACATTCACTCATCATCTTAAGCTTGAAAGACTTTCTATTCGCTCGATAATGGTATTGTTCTGAATTAGTTTCATTTATAAATTGATTGCTATTTAACTTTTTTAGTTTTAAGGCCATTTCATTCATTTATTTTCTCGCAGGTTTTTCAAAACATTTTCTTGTTCTTCTTATCAATGTTGGCATTCAATAGGATTTTTATTTTGATCTGGAATAAAAGAAGAGAACAATAACATGAAAGCTAAAGAAGGGGAAACAACGAAAAGAAAGAACACTTGGAGATTATCTACGGAAATAAAGAAGATTAATTTAATGTGGTAGACCATTTCAATTGGCACGCAAAATCAAAACGGGTTGAGATTTTGGTCTTCCATGGATTTGGGGTTTCACTTTTCTTTGTGTTATTTATTACTTTTTGTCGATATTGGAATTTCACTTGCTGTCATGACAGTTGAAAGAGTAGGAAATTAAGACTCGTTTTTATGCTGCAACCAATGAAATCGAATTGCATTTTCAAATTCCCCAAAAGAAAACGGAGGGTATATAAATTTTGCCATTCCGTCTGCAACATCTACAAACATTTGTGAATTAATAAATTCTTGATCAGAAGAAAATTCGTAGTCTATTTGGTTATGTCTGTCTTATTGTTGAACTAGACTAGAAATACCAGATGTATTGTGTCTCAGTTATGAGTTTCCATGGGTTGGAAGTTCAATAAAGGTTTACCATTTGCTATAATTTCCATCGTTTTATTCTCTCCACCATAGTATGGAGGATACATTAAGTTTGTGTTTCCGTTTGTTACACCTCGAAGTATACATTTTAGACCCAACAAGTCAGCATAAAATTCTATGAAGTAAGTTAATAAAATTACACTCAAATGTATATTATGTCTGCAGGAATTTCGGTATTGGAAATGGGCCATGTAAGGCAACGTTATAACCATATAGTGGTACCTCCCGATATTCGGTATTCCGATTATTTAAGCGACAGTATTCACTTAATATTTTTCAAATGTCGTATTTGCAGTTCGCAATGGATACTACAGCCTATGACAGAAAATTGTCTGTGCAGGTCCAGTCTTCGGATAGCCCCCATATAATGGTACCTCCAGATATTCGGTTACGTTAACGGTACCTCCCGATATTTGGTATTTTGATTATTTTAGCAACATTATTCACCGGGATTGTTTCAAATTTGGTATTTAAAGTTCGTAATGAATACTACAGCCTATGACAGTAAATTGTCAGTGCAGGTCCACGTACTCGTATAGCACCAATATAACGGTACCCTATAACGGTATTTTGATGATTTTGATGATGCAGGGCCACGTCGTTGTATAGACCACAAAATAAGATTTTAACAGAATTTTGTTTAAATTGCCAAATTCATTCCAAATTGTGGTATTCAATGTTCTGCCCGGCCGAACTTACAGTTATTTTACTTGTTTTATTATTTGTTCTCATGGGTTGGAAGTTCAATAAACATGTACCATTTGCTTAATTTCCACCTTGTTGTATCACCGATTTAAAATATTTTAAGGGTTTACATGCATATTCAACTTAATTTGCTTCAATTCGGATTCTCAAGAAACTTAAACTCATTCCTACAGAAAGGTTCCGATCCAGTGAATCTTCATTTTCGAAGTCACAGTTTCCATCTAAACTGACTGTCGTTTTGAAATATGACCTTTCCTTGGATAGGAACTCTCCCATAGAGTTTTTTACAGTTATGTTTCCAGTCACACTTTCCATATTCGTCCAGACTAATTTTGGTGGATTTTTTTAATAATATAGAATCCTGCAAAAACGTTTTTTTTACTTTCTGACTGGTGACATTGTCCCTTGATTCAGTATATGCTTCTAGGCTGGATTTGGTCGTACGTGTCAATTCCATTTGGGCCAATATTAAGCATTTGATTCAAAATAAACGCGAAATCGGAAAAAGATATATGGAATCTATATCCAAATCTGTAACGATATTGATAAAATTTGAGAGAGTTTTTTTCTGTGCTATATATATCTGGTATCTGGTATGTGAGGGACTTAAGCGACAAATCGGATGAAACATATATATGGGAGCTCAGGACTTTTGGACTGACATTGGCCATTTGGTGTACAATGAACCCGAAATCGTCTGAAGATATATATAGACGCTATATTTAAATCTGAACCGATCTTTATAAAATTTGCCAGAAGTATTTCTGGGATGTATCTGATATCTGGTACCAAATATCATTGTTGTCGGATGTATATTACGAATGTGAGGGACGTAAACACCATCGATAAAACATATGTAGACTGGTCGTTTGGACTTATATTAGCCATTTGGTGCACAATTAACCCGAAATCTTAATACGGTTCGTCCTTGTGCCAAATCAATATTGTTTGCAAAATTTCATCTCAATCGGATAATAAGTCACAAGATTACATGTATAGACGCACGGACAGACGGACTGACATGCACAAATCGATTCAGAAAGTGATTCTATGAAGATCCTTAAAAGTAACTATGGGTCTCCATGTTACAAACAAATGCACAAAGACAATTTATTTATTTTTTTTTTGTTGGTTTCCAAAGATTTTCACTTGAGAAATTTTCATTAACAAAGTATATAAGTTAAATTTAGCACAGATCAGGCAGGTCAAGTTCGAAGATGGGCTATACCGGTCCATGAAATCGTATAGCTCCCATATAACGGAATTGTCTGAAAATCCGCACAAAGAGTTCCTTCTCCTTTACCCTCTGGATGAAAATTGTCTATATAGGTCCACGATATCGTATAGCGCCATACAACGGTACCCTTCGATATTCGGTATTTTGATGATTTTAACGGAATTGTTTCAAATATCGTATTCCACACATCTTCGTGTAACCCCATGTAGTGATATCTCCTCATAATTGGCATTTTGATGATTTAAATAAATTATTAACCGAAATTCTTTCAAATTTTAGCTGAACTTAGCTGGTTTTTTAGGTACTAATAATTGCAAGGGGTCTCTTTGCACCAAATCCCTTTCAGGACATCTCGAAAGGGAAGTCGATCTAGCGATGTCCGTCCGTCCGTCTGTATGGCTGGCTGGCTAGTGCGCACGACAACTCTCGAAGCGAGTATCCGAACTTGGTATATCGTAATATTATTGTCAAACTAAGATCGAGTTCGGAAATGTGAAATATTGGTGCACTCCTTTTTGTACCTCCCCCACAATGTGACAACATTTTCAAAGAAAATAATTTATTGCACAGAAAGAGAAAGCATAATCCAATTTTGCTCCAACTTTGCGAATCCTAATATTTGCATCAGTGCGAAAATGGACAATATAGATCCACTCTATCAACTACCTCCCCACTAAGGGTCAAAATTTTGAATAAATATAATTCCTATATAAATGATGTAAGAGTCCGATTTTCTTCTAATTTCCCACATCACAATATTTTTATTAACCTATTTTCTGGTGTAAAAATGGAATATATCGGTTCACTAATTCTGTAGCCCCTTCCCCCCACACACACAAAGGGTCAACATTTCGAATATTCATGAAGCTCATAAATAGCGAAACTATCATTAGATTCCATTCCGACTTGCATTTCTCAATATTTCCATCAACACAAGATCTTTTATAAAGATGGTAGAAATCGGACCATTTCTTCTGGTACCTCCCCTACAAAGGGTGAAATCCGAAATAAGCATCCGATTCCCTTCACATTCTAATATCTCTACTAACTCAAGACCTGGTGTGAAGGTGGAATATATAGGTCCACTCCTTCTGGTACCTTCCCCACAAAGGTTCAAAATTTTGAATTACCAAAACGCTTATAAAGTAAACGAAGTAAGCATCCGATAATTCACACATCCCACTATTTCTATTAACTCAAGACCCCACAAAGTGGTTAACATTTTGAATAACTCTATTAACTCAAGACCCCACAAAGTGGTTAACATTTTGAATAACTATTAAGTTTATAAAACGCGAAATTAGCATCCCATTATTTTCAAACTTTGCACATCCCAATAAAATGCTGTGAAGATAGAATGTTTCGGTCCACTCCTCTTGATGCCTTCTCCGCCAAGGGTCAAAATTGTATATAACCAGCATTCTCCGATTCTCCAATATTTCTATTAACACAAGATCTGGTGTGAAGATGAAATATATCAGATCACTCCTTCTGGTACCTCTCCTACAAAGGTCACAATTTTCAATATTTATATCCCTTATAATTTGCGCAACAGCGATTCTTTTACAATTTGGTAACCTGCGATCTGATGTAGATAAAGAATTCATCTGCTGTCTTCTTCTGGTACCTCCCCCACAAAAGGTTAAATTTTGGATTTAACGCGGATATAAATGTTAGATGTTCATCAAAGTTTTTGGGTTAACATCACTAACTGTGTTAAATATATTAAAATGATACGAGCATACCCTATAAAACCAATGTGTTCCCCATACATGATGCAACTTTTTATGCTGAATCAAGAATCTGCATAAATACTTTATGCTGTTGAATGAATTTTAAATATCCCCCATTGTATGGCGAAGGGAATAAAATGCCCTGATCTATAGAAATTAACACCCTTTGTACTTTTACCAAGCCATTTGCATTGCTACCAGTATCGACTTCTCCATTCTAAGTCCTACAAACATACATTAAAACGAAATGCCTCTATCGATTCTCTCTTTTTCCCACATGTACAATTTCGCTGAATTTGTCACACTTTCTTTAAATACTTTTTCGCTAATTCCTATTAAATGCACAGTGTTTGCAAATAATTAGTGTGTGAAGGCATTCAAATTCCACAACTATTCATAACTAAATAGGATAGAAATTCCAATTAGCACCCCAGAAACAAAACAAACCAAAAATTTAAATCGCATTGGGCAAACAGAAAAAACTTTCCATTTCAACGGCAGTGGTCTACCAGACATCAATTCGTCTATCTATCCATACGTCCAACCATCCATCGATTGGATGAATACCCAAGCCAACCTCAAACAAGTGTGTGTTTAACCAAATTTCTTTAGATTTGCCTGAAAAGTGGGTCAGAGCGCATAAGCGCACAGTCAAGCTTAATAACCAGGCGATCCACGGCCACTAACACCACCATGACTAACTAAACAAGAACAGTTGCTGTCAGTTCGGCCAGTTGCACAAAATTGAAAGTTGCGAATCGAATTGGCGCACACCACCAGCCATAGTGTGCAATTGGTGCTGGGTTAGAGGGGAGGGCATTGAAAGTGTTAAGTACCTTTTTTGCATAAGTCATAATTATGTGCATTTACCTTTCCTTCCTTTCTTTCCCCTAAAACATTTCAACTTTCTTCTTTGCTGGATTATGGGCACAATATTTTTCAGTTTCTGTAACCATCATCTTTAAGTTTGAAATTAATATTTTGTATTTTTAAATAGATGTGATAAAATTTTAAATAAACACAACATACAAAACAAGAGACCATAGCCCAATATGGCCTATAGTTATTGTACATACCTATTTGGAATAGTTGTTATCAGCCATACACACCTACGAAAATCTGTGGCTGATGATGTTGTTTCTGTCGTTGTCGGAGTTTTTACATCACTTTCACAAAAATGCCTTTTTGTCACTTTATTTATTTATGTTATTATTGTTGTTGTTGGTTTTTGTGTATATTTTTACTACTCCGTTTTTTTATGTTTATGGATTTCGAAATTGTCTCTCTTCTCGAGATTTGTTGGTTCCGTGCGTGTTAATGCGTGCCAATCCGATGTTGAAAATCACAACAAAAATACACACCACTAAAGACTCCAAGACAAGATCACGGCCAAGACGTCTATACCAAAAAATAACAAAAACAAAACACAAACTTGATGCACCAAACTGGCGGAACACAGTCAACTAATTTCATAAAACAAGTTAAATGCGGCAGCAGCTGGGGCTCACTGGCTGGCTCTAAATTACAATCACAATAAATTTCCTTTTACTCGAGTGCAGCAGCCACTACCACTTCAAGCAGGTTTCATGCATTTTTTATTTAAAAATTCCGTTTAAAATTTAAAATTGTAACACACAAGCACACTCATGCATGCACATCAAAGTTACACTAGACGGTGGAATGACGATCGATTTGTTAATGCAATAATATGCCACTTTTGTTTTTGACTTCATGCGTCGTTGTTGAAAATACGTTGTGCCTTCTTTGTTAACCGGTGACGAACTGATGCTGTTAACACCGACCAACGTTGGTAATGATCATCTGGCTGTGAAATGCCGCACCACTGTCGCAATGTGAGCAACAGAAAAGAAAGTCTACGAAGAAATGCCGCTTTCGTTAAGATTTCTGGCATGGATAGGTGGTAAGTGAAAGAGAGCACAGCGATAGAGTGTGTTTAGTTGAGAGACAGATTGTACACCGGGAGAAATTTTGTACTACACTTCCATAATAATTTTTGAAACAACTCAGTACATGTGTGTGCCGTTTTTATACCCTTCACAGACGAGGTATGGGGTATATTAAGTTAACTCATCGAAATAATCGTTTTAGACACAACAGCACAACACAACATTCATGACCAGCCTAAAATTCTAAGTCGATTTAGTGAAGTTTGTTTGTCTGAACGTCCGTTGTAATCACGCTAGAGTCCAAATGACATGTGATATGGAGGTTATATTTTGGATAGACCCATTCCCGGCGAAGCGCTTGCTTGAGGTGATCGACACTTTGGTATTTCTTATTGCCAACCTTGCTTTTCAATATATTCCAGGCACAATAGTCCAACGGTTTGGTATCCGGAGATTTTGGTGGCATTGTGCGCAGGAAATGAAGCGATGCCACGGTCGATTAATACGAGCGGAGAGGGACCTTCGGCAGTTATGGCGGCTAACACCATCACCATGGACGGCACTTGAGTTCTGGTGGCCAACCGAAGGTGCTCATTTTCAGCTGACCTCTTTAGCACGTAAACACGATCATTTTGTTTATTTACAAACTGCTGGACAACGAATGTTTTCTCATCGAGAAAACCAAATTCGGCAGTTCACCACTTTCGTCCAAGCGAAGCAACTCTTTATCTCTTTTGAGTCTATATTCTTTCTGTTGGGGTGTAAGTTCGATATGTTCAGCTCTCGAGCCATTTTTCGGCTTTTCGAATCATTCTTTACTTTTCAAACCATTTCTGCTGATGTTGCTGTTTTCTTCCGTCCACTTCCTTGACGTCGGGCTACGCTACCAGTATCACAGTAAAGAGCGATGGTACGAGATACAAAAGATTTATTCACATTTAAATGCTGCAGTGCTCTAACAATAGCCACTTGTGGTTTTCCAGCCAAATATAAAGAAATCACATTATCATGGTTGAATTCCATCACGATTTTTTTTTTCGGAAATTCTCACCAAAATGCCTTTGTACACTTGTGAACAATATAATGAGCTGTCACTGGAATAATTTTAGCAGCTGTCGGACAAGTGGCTTAGAAATGACATCAGTCTGAAGTTGGTTGCAGTGTTTTCATCTCCCCCGTATATCACGGTGGCGCAATGTTTTAAAGTAAAAATGTCAAAATTTTAACGCTTGACTTTAACCGAATTCTTGTACTGTCGAAGTAAAATATTTCAACATTTTTAGCGGTATTTCGGTCTGGAACTTCGGCAACTCTTTAATAATGTATCTTATTTCGTCTAAACTTGGTGTATCGTAATACCCTTATGAAGCCTTAATTGAGTTCGGAGATTGGCAATATCAGTCCACCACTGTAGATACGTACCCCAAAACAAGGTCAACATTCTTGCAGAAAATAATTTAATTCAGAGGTCCATATAATGCCAATCCTAATATTTGTATAAGTTCTAGATCAGGTGTGAAAATGCACAACATCGGCGATCTACTTCTAGTACCTCCCCCCCACCAACTATCAACATTTTGAATAATTATAGTTCTTATAGAAATATGAATAATTCATCGATGCTCCTGGTGAGAATATGGGGTTTATTGGGCACTCTTTCCCACAAAGAGTCAACATTGGATGTGTAGGTCAAAACTTCATGGTATGTCACAAAAATAGGTATACATAATTGGGAAACTGCTAAGGATTTCGAATCAAAATCTTGATTTACGGTTTTGCGGACTACTACAGATTTTTTTAAATCCATCGAAATATTTCCGTTAAAATTAATCTAGTCAAATCGATTCGAATCTAAATAAATTTGTCGGAATTTTAATGCGACATTTTTATGAAACAGTTTATCCTCATCAATTTTACCAGATAGTTACACTTTTCCTGTAATTGTTAGGAATAATAACAAGTAAAAAGCAGTAAGTTCGGCCGGGCCGAACTTTGAATACCCTCCACCATTTGGAACGAATTGGAAAATATTCAAAAATATAAAATCCATTGAAAATTTTGTTAAAATCTTTAAAATACCTAATATCGGAACATGCCGATATATGGGGGGATATACGCTACTGTTGACCTATATAGACAAATCTATGTCTGGGGGTAAAGTACTCACAAGGAACCCCTTGTGTGGAATTTCGGACAATTCTGTAATGTGGCTGAAATCATCAAAATACCCAATATCAGAATTCTCTGTCGGGTGCTCACAAAGAACCCCTTGTGTACAAAGAACCCCTTGTGACCAATCCGTTGAAAAATAAGGCTGAAAACATCAAAATACCGAATATCGGGGGTACCGTTATATAAGGGCTATACGATATCGTGGACCTATATAGATAATTCTCTGCCGAGGTATAAAGGAACTCCTTGTGTGGATTTTCAGACAATTCCGTTGAAAAATGTGGATAAAATCATCAAAATACCGAATATCGGGGGTACAGTTATATGGGCGATATCGGACCTATATAGACAATTTTTTTGAGGGGGTTAAATGCCTACAAGGGACTCCTTTTGTGGAATTTCAGACAATTCCATTGAAAAATGTGGATAAAATCATCAAAATACCAAATATCGGGGGTACCCTTATATGGGGGCTATATGATATCGTGGACCGATATACCCCGTCTTCGAACTTGACCTGCCTGCAGACAAAAGAGAGATCTGTGCAAAATTTTAGCTTCCTATCTTAATTCGTTTAGACTGTAGCTTGATTACAACAGACGGGCAGACGGACAGACGGACAGACGGACGGACAGGGTTAGATCGTCTTAGAATTTTACGCTGATCAAGAATATATATATACTTTGTTGGGTCTAAAATGATTATTTCGATGAGTTACAAACGGAATGACGAACTTAATATACCCTCTATACTTTTTTTGGTAGAGGGTATAAAAATCTAAAATTGGGAATTTATTTTGAAAGTATTGTAATCAGCCTCAGTCTATGAGTAAAACCGTCACATATTTTCAGTGTACCAATACAAAACAAAAACTTTCGTTAAGTTTTTGTTATGACTACACTGCGCAGACGTAGCACAGCAAACAATAACATGGCATTTGTACGAGTATGTATGCAAGCATGTTGGTGTAACAGGTTCTCACTGCTCTCATCGGTGGGCAATTATGCGCAACATTTACATTTGGCTGCTTTAATACCAGTTATCGCTCACTGATATTCAGTGGGTTTTTAGGTAACAGTAACAGCGGCGACATCAACAGCTGTTGATGTTTTTATTTTGAAATTCCAAAAAAATTGACGATAGAAGTTGGTAGGAGAACTAAACGTTTACTTCCTCTTCTGGAGTGTGTACGCATGCGCACTCACTGGATGGTGCTGTTGTAATTGGCTAGCATTTTTTCTGGTTCGTTTGTTTTGTACAATTTTGACTTTATTCGGTGCTGTTTGTATTAAACAATGAATAAAATCCATTAAATGACAATAACTGAAACTGCTGTACAATGACTTTGCAGACTAAAGTTATGGATATTACACTTCACTGAGGAGGAGAACAACAATAGAGATGTCACATTTTAGAAATGATGTGCCTAAATATTTGTGTATATTTAACAATTATTTGACAGAATCGCTTCTATTCACTAAAGAAGCTAATGATCTGCGATTGGTATTGAGGTCATAACCACAGTGTCCGGTTTTTTTATTACTAAGACTATGTACATTAATAAGGTTTTGACCGGCATGCAAAACAAGAAATTCACCAAATGAGTGACAGAAAGAATATAGCACATAAAATTCGTAATGACCCCAATCTCGCAAAGAGGCTGCTGGAGGAATATATATATTTTTTTTTGTAATGCAGATATAGACAAACAAAGTATGCATAATGTGTTTAATAATTGAACCAATGCACATATAACTTTATGTGATTTTTATTTAACATATGTTACCAGAACCATGGTACTATGGTGGGATATGTTTGAAAGCAACCTATCTCTATTAATTGTACTGACAAAATTATCATAAGTACAAGTGTAGCAATTTGTTGTATTTATATTTTTTCATGATCGCGTTCTATATATTTCTAATGATTTATTTCATCCATCATATATATATATATATGATGGATGAAGTAAATCATTAATATTAAGTTTGTAATTCCATTTGTAACACCTTGAAATATACATGTTAGACCCCACAAAGTATATTCATTCTTCATCAGCATAAAATTCTATTTTTTAGCTCTCTCTAGCTTCCGAACGAAATGAAGGAGGTTGATAAACTTTTACTGAAATGTGTACTATGTCTGCTGGACTTTTGGTATTGACAATGGGTCATGTACCTCCCGATATTCGGTATTTTGATTATTTTAGCAACATAATTCACCGGAATTGTTTCAAATTTAGTATTTGAAGTTCGTAATAAATACTACAGCCTAAGACAGAAAATTGTCTGTGCAGGATCACGTAGCCCCACCACCTGTAACACCTCGAAATATACATTTTAGACCCAAAAAAAAAAAATATATATATATGTATATATATATATATATATATATATATATATATATATATATATATATATATATATATATATATTCTTGATCAGAACAAAATTCTACGTCGATTTAACGATTTCCGTCCGTTTATCCGTCTGCGGAAATCACTCTAGCTTCCTAACGAAATGAAGTAGGTTGATAAAATTTTACTTAAATGTGAACTATGTCTGCAGGACTTTTGGTATTGAAAAAGGGTGATGTAGGTCCACGTTTTGGTATAGCACCCATATAATGGTACCTCCCTTTTTTCAGGAATTTGGTGATTTAAGCCACATTATTCACCTGAAATGTTTCAAATTTTGTATTTGAAGTTCGTAACGGAT